TACTTCAGGCTCTTGGGGCATTTCTAAATTTAAACTTCCTTTTGAGCTCTGTAACTCTTTGTACATTTCCCTTGCTTCTAGATGTATATTATGTGGCTTAATTTTGGTAACTCCTTAGAAATTTTACTCTGGAAAGTGAAAACAATATTGACCCTGTTTGGTAAAAAATTGGCCTATAGGCCAATTTTGGCTTATTTGACAACTATTAATTGTTTGATTTAGTTAAAATATCAATATAAATGTTTGGTTAATTAACTTTTTGCAACTTCAAAAGGCTAAAATTCAAAAGGTTACTCCAAACAACTTTTTCAATTAGCTTCTTGAGAAAAGAAATTATACCAAACAGCTATCAGCTAACAGCTAATTTACCAAACACTTTTCTACAATCAGCTAATGTTATCAACTATTTATACCTCTAATTAACACAATCAGCTAACAACGAACAGCTAACAGCCATTTTACCAAACAGGGCCATTGTGTTATTCATCAGCCCCATTTCTTGATTCAACAACTTGATTGTGTTGTCATAGCTTCATGGTGACATAGCATGAATCTAATTTCAGTACTATGGATCATAGTTCACATTGCAATATAGACCATGAATAAATGTTTATTTTTGTTATACAAAGATTCATTTTTTGTGTACTGTAGATTCATACCAAATAATGAACTTCCGATACATAAAAAATGAACTTCCAAAAGTGAATATTTAATGTATTAAAAAGAGTTAATACCCGATTTGGTCCCTTGACTATTAGAGTTTTGTTACTTTGGTCATCGACTTTCAAACTTGCTCTATTCATTCCCAACTATGCAATTTTAACTAAAAATAATCCTCGGTATAGTCCTGATTGAGAACCATTTTGGTTAACAATTGCATAGTTGTAGATGAAATTGAGCAAGTTTGGAAATCGAGGACCAAAGTGGTAAAATTCTAAGAAAGTAGTTCTTCACTTTGCATTTAGCACAAAATCAGCAAAAACATCAATCAAGAAAAAGCACCAAAAAATGATGGGGAATAACAACCTTCAATTCAATATAGAATAGTAAGGAATTAAGCACTATGTAATTTGTATATTCAGAAATGTAGTCAGACAATTTTTTTCAACTGAACGGCTAAGAGTTTGCAATCATGTCGAAGTGGATGCTTCTATTCACCATTACCTTGCTTGCTGAGATATCCATTTTGCAAGAGCTTCTCCTCTGATGGCATATTCTGCATTGCTTTCTTGGTGCCCTCAGCTTTCCATGGACCCAAAATTCGGGGTTCTGGTGGAGGCGTTGCTTCTGCTATTGGTGCCACGAGTCCTGGTTTTCCATCATCGATAACTGCATCAACTAGCCCGTACTCTAAAGCCTCCCAAGCACTCATAAAATTATCACGATCAGTATCCAGTTCAATCTGAAACGGTGAAAAAAAAAAAAAAAAAAGAAAAACATTAAATCATTATAAGCATATACAGAAACCACTCAATTTACATAAAATAGCGAACAAGAGGCTGCTGCGTACCTGTTCCTCAGGCTTTCCTGTGGCTCGTGATAGTATTTTATTTAGCTTGACCTTGTGGTATGCCATTTCACGTACTCGTATCATCATATCTGTTATCTGGAATCAAAAGTCATATTAAATATATCCCCGGTATCTTAACATTCATTTTAATTGTGGATGGTGAGATGGTCACTAACAACCAAAGATTCATATAGAACACATAGTATTGGAAAAGAATGCAAGGAGATAATGTGAGGTGCAAGGATGAAACATATTTTTGGACCTGTTTGTGAAAGCCAATGCAAATAACTCTTTGAACACCTCCAATAGTTAATTAGCAAACCATCTTGAGATATAGAGATTGTTAATATCCACAAAAGTAAGAGAACACTTACACTACCACCAGCAGATCCGAGGGGTTGATGGATCATGACCCTTGCATTTGGCATTATGTACCTCTTTCCTTTCGAGCCAGTCGCAAGGAGAAATGCACCCATTGATGCAGCAATCCCCAGACAGATAGTAGAAACATCAGCCTTACATTGTTTCATTGCATCATATATTCCCATTCCTATGTGCACAGTCAATAACCGAAGTCAATTTTCATTCTAATAAAATCGAAGCACACAATAATTTCAACTAAACATAAGACTATTTGCAATTAAGCTTTATCATCTTCCAATGTGTTTGCATTTTTGCTCTAACATATTACAATTACCTGCAGGTTAGGAGTAAAGAATAACTCCCAGAATTAATGCAATCTAAAAAAGAAAACACTATAACATACCAGCAGTAACGGAACCACCAGGCGAGTTTATGAACAATTTGATGTCCTTTGTGGAGTCTTCAGCATCGAGAAGTAATAGCTGGCTTATAATAAGATCTGCTGTTGCATCATCTACCTGTCCACCACCGATCAGTTTCCACAAATATTAGTGGAAACCTTAATACTAGAACTCCAAGTCTCCAACATAAGATTGTCCCATCAAAAAATTATTCCAATAAAGAAAAAGATTATAGACTCCATTATCATATCCAATCATAGCATAAGAAAGCTAGTGAGTATCCTAAAATACTTCACTTTCCTAGATTAGTTCAAGTCCAACTTCATTTCTGATTCTTTTACCAGTTTAGTTTCTTAGACTAATCAGTTTACAAGGTATTTTAAAGAATATCTTAAGCCTATAATTATATCTTAACACTAATTACTAAATCCCATATCAAAATATTTAAAAGTTTTTATTAAACCAGAGAAAAATGGAGGAAAAATAACAATTTCATACGAACCAATAGCAAGAATAACTGTTGAGTGAATAAAAATAGTCACCATAACAATAACAATAAAATAAAATAAAAAATCATACAAAACCCATAAACAAAATTGAAGATTTAATAAAAGGGGATAGAGAACCTGAGAGCCCAAGAAGACGATTCTCTGGCGAAGAAGCATATTGGTAGTGTCCAGTTCTTCAAATCTGGGCAGCTTAGGAGGAGCTGCGGTGGAGTTGAAAACATCCCAGTTGCTGGAAAGAGTCTGTCTTGCTGTAGAAAAGCTCTGCTTTCTTGCTTTTACTGACAAATCCCTTCTTCTACAGCCATGTCCGATTGTTGTCCTTGCGTTTCGTGATTGGAGAAATTGGGGATTGGTTTGAGAAATTGGGAAACTGGTATTCAAGAAATTTCTTGAGGTTGAAGAGGATGTGCTGAACGTTAGATAACCGCTCTCCATATCCACTTCGCAATCGTTCCTCGTTTCTCTTTGCTCTGTAAAATGGGAACTCGAGGCGAGGGGTTTTGGCTAAGACATTTTAGGCCGACCCCGCCGGAAAATACTTATGTTGTTAATTTTATTATTTTTATATTTTACAAAAATGACAATATTAAGTCTGTTGGTTCAATTATGACCGAATTTATTTTTAATATCTTAATTATGAGCAAAGTGATCCATTTGATTTCTGAAATTAGGAACGTCTTAATCTGACGAAAAGTTCAAAAATGTTATAAATATATTATTATGTGGACATTATTATAGATTATATAACAGTTGTAACGGTTTTGTATTTATGTCTCCATTATGTCTTCCGTTATATTTGTATATTATATATAGATGTATTATGGTTGTATGTAATACATAGATGAACGAATGAGATGACATTGCCTCTTACTTTCTCTCTTGACTTGTCTCTTACTTCTTTCTGCAATTCCTTTGATCATTTGAGCTAATGGGTTACAACACGTTATCAGCAGACTCTAACCAATTGAGCCTCGCCGGGGACACCTCTCTTCTCCAAAATGTTTCTCCGCCGCCGAACTTCGACTGCTCTAGCCAGTTTGTTGTTCATGGGATGATCTGTGGAATCAGATGATGAGCACATTTCAAGTATTGCAATTCCAGTAGAAACGAGGCATCAAAACTTTGTTTCAGACATGGCTTCAATCGTATCCCCCCGATGGCGAATGGGTATGAGGTGATCTCATTCTTTTCCCCAATATCATATATCATTCATCGGAGAACGGTACAATTATCATGAACCTCGATTACTATTATAAAAAAAAAAAACAAAAAAAAATTTATCTAATGTGATATTATGTGGGAAGCATGCTATATGATTGTGATTAGGATTGCATTTATATAATCAATATATGTTTTATATACGGTGATATAATCAATATATGTTTCAATCTTCATCAATACAAATTGACATTACCTCCCGCACCGTTCTGTTTTTCCTACCACCATCGTTGGGTGGTGGAGGGACGACTTGGTGGTCGGACATAGCGTATGGTTGGGAGAACTCGCCGGTCAACTGCTGGACTGAGTGAGCGGTGCTGTTCAGTGCCGGGTTTTTCAGCGGTGCTCCTTCGGTGATGTTCCTCCCCCATTTGGCCGCTGTTAAAATAATGTCATACTATTGCTGATTGTTTCCGATTGCCTGTGCCGTGATTGAATCTGTGAAGCATTCTTTTTACGTGATTGACGTGGCTTATCGGTTTTGATTCATGATTTCTAGCCGTTTTGGATGTTTTAAGGTGGATTTTTTCGCTGGTTTCGAGATGAGACATGAAAGTGCTGCATATTGCATTTTTTTTATAACTTTATCAAGTGCCATTATCATTCTTATAGCGAAGATATCCCTTTTTTTTAGAATTTTTATTATGGTAATTGAAATGAAAATTCTTTTAATATAGACATGATTATTATGAGTTACCACTATTATGATATATATATGTTTCCAAATCATGCTTATGGATGGAAGATCGCAATATCGATGCTTCCTTTTTGGCATTTAATTGTCAAATATTAAGAGCATTTATATCTGCAGATGTTTCATAACTACAACCTCTTATACCATGATTGCCATTTTATTAATGGTAATTATATTTGTTATACAGAGATGGTTATTATCTTGTTTAATTGAAAAAGGTTCTATTATCCTTTAAATTACCATATATATTATTTTTATATGAGTACTTTGAGATGGTTTGCATCTTATTAATTGCCGAAAGTTGTTATTTTCACCATTGTTTATTGCTATTAGCTATTTCCTTCTATCACCGTACCATATGATACATCTTATTGTTGTTCTATTAATAATGGTAAATTTTTTTACCATGATTTAGATGTTGATTGATATGCAATATGTATATGCCCTATAATATATTAAAGTATGAATGCAACGCATATATGTACATTGTTAATAACGGTGTATATACATATTTTTTCCAATGATTTTTTGGTAATTATAATTGGTGATCAATTGCTATACAATAAAAGGCTGGAAATCAATAAATATTATTGGCATATTATCCGCAATTTGGTATAAAGATTATTGGCACTTTGACTATAATTGCTATGTTATCCGCAATAAATATTATTAGCATTTTTTATATGTATATATACAATATGCTAGAAATCATAGCATTCAATATTTTCCATATATTACGGTGATGGATGACGGATTATTATGGCTTGCAATTTAGTCATAATGTTTTCCTATTAAGCATGTTCGTATGCGGTTTACTATATTGCGGAACTGGAGTCGTGTATGTTCATAGAGACTCCAAGATTAAATATTGGCACATTTTATTTTGATGATTGCAATGTTTATCGTAATAACAATTTATAATAATTTGATTATCCTTATCAAACCTGTAAGAGGCAACATTGGCAATTATCAACATTAGAAAAGATCATGCGATGGTCATACAATTGTCAAATAGTATTATGAAACAAACTAGATAAGTGTTTTTCTCAAAGACAATATTTCATAATTCTCTTATATTGACAATTATGTGCATGTATATATCACTGTGATATTTTGTTATGGCAAATTGTCAAAAAGAATATTTGTCATGAATCCGAATTGATACTTCGTTTTTAGAAAGCATGATCCATAGACGAAATTATGATATTTTATCTTGATTAGTTCACTCCATACGACATAGTATGTTGAGTGTTACTTGTTAATCTAATTTTACTGAAACAATTAGTTAAGATAAACTATATCATATTTTTTAACGAAAGCTCTAAATCTTAATAGAGCTTTGTTTGGAAAGCAAATTATGCAATTTTGGAGGAAATGTGTTTTTTTTGGGGACCTTCAAAAATTGAATAACCAATATCCTGATCCACTACATATCACATACGCTAGTACATGATGCATTTCCCTATCTGCGTTCAATTTTTTTAGTATGCAACCCTTCTAGCTGTATCCTATTATGAGAAATCAATAGTGATGTTGGTTGCATAATAAGATCTTTTCTCGGCATTAGGGGGAGATTTGAAATTTCTAATTAATTAAATGCCGAGAAATTGATAAAAATCTTCAAACCCATGTACTAGCCTTATAAAACCAGAAGTTTGGACATTGAATAAATTATCTGCTAGAAATCCCAATGAGTGACTAAGTCCATAGAAAATATTTTAAGAGTTGAAATCCCCAACTAGGACTAAACATCTCTACCATTATGCCAGAAACATATATTGGTTTAAGAATTTGCAAATCTAGATCTAGTGAAGAAATTTCGTCACTCCAGAAATATAGAAATTTTATCCTGAAGATATTCGTCTAGAAGGCGAAAACCCCCAGTAAAATTGTAGGTGCACCAAACAACTAAAATATTGGGGAAGCGGAACAACCAAATTCAAATAATCTTGGGAAATGCCATATAGTTGGTTGATACAAAATTGTCATATGTATAAAAGATATTTACAAAGCTGTTATAGTTGTCGACAACATTTTTTGCCTCTATTGCTCATAATAAATACTTAAATCTGGATCCAGAAATGAAAACAGTAGCATAACGTTTGCAGCGTGCTAACTGTTTTGATAGAAAAGAGCAATTAAGGCATACAAATCAAAACTCGCTAATAAAAGGCGAGTTGAGGGTTTTCGCAGAGACCCAATATTAGTCATGGCTTTATATTCCGCTATTCAATAAAACTAGCAGTAAATAAATTAGATATGTAGCTAATAGTTAATAGTTATCACATATTTATATGGGTAACTTGTTACTTATATTTATCCTTGATGGATTTTCTCAAAATGTGATGAATGAAAATCACAAAATAAGAAGTATAAAAGTTAGTAAGTTGCTAACAATGATCTTTCTTATAGTCAATAAATCGACTAAAGGCATTTTCTCCCCAAGAACAAAGTAATGTTATATGTGATTGGGAAACTCAAATATCGTTTCCTCTTGGAAATATCCTAAATATATCCTCTTGTTTATCTTGAAAAATCCCTAATGGATTTATAACTCCCGAAATGAGGATTTATTTAAGTGCCATTATTTACTTTTTAAAGAGTTGCGAATGGGGTTATTATCCTCATATAGAAGGAATAATATGTACCATTATGTGCTCAATAAAGAGTTGATAATGGACTTATTTATTATCTCAGTCAATATTTATGGTGTAAACATCAATGAAATATATAAAGAGTTTGATGATGTTAAGTTATGAGATGAGATAACGAATAGCAAATCAAGGTACAAATACTCGTATTGATGCTTTCTGGCATGAAGTCATCATACTTGTTACAGATAAAAACGTATATAGTTTTTCATGATATAAAATACCTTGATCCACATGAACTCCAGAAGAGTGATAAAATATTTGTTCAGAAGGTTTGCTCCAGTGACAAGTTAGCAAATGTATACCTACAAAATATTCATAATCATAAGATTGTTATGTGTAAGTAAAGAAAAATCATTATATTTAAGCTATTCAGAACTTGAAGATTGTTATCTTCAGGGGGAGACGAGAAGTACATTCACTCGAGTCAATCCTGTAGATTGGTCAATCATGTTGATTGGGTCTTAAAAGGACTAATAGTTATACTTTTTGCAGCATATACATACCATGTACTCTTTTCCTCACTAGGTTTTTCCCAATGGGTTTTCTAGTGTGGTTTTTAACGAGGCATGAGTATGATATAGTAATGACAATGGGGAAAAGTTACAAAATAATTGGTTGATAAATGAACAAACTCCAAAATCCTGAAGATTATGCAGATTATGCCTTGAAGGCTTATAGTTGTACTCTTTTTCCCTTAACTATGTTTTTCCCACAGGGTTTTCTTGAGTTAAGGTTTTTAATGAGGCAACCAATACAATATATGATTTCTACATATATCATGTACTCTTTTCTTCAACTAAGTTTTTTTTCACGTGGTTTTCCTAGTGAAGTTTTTAATGAGGCGTGAATATATTTTCTATTATACTCTTTTCTTGTCTAGGTTTTTCCCACAGGGTTTTCCTAGCAAGTCTTTAACGAGGCAAGGTCATGGACAAATAATGTCCAAGGGGGA